ATGAATTGTACCCAAGTAAAGATAGCATTGAATGTATAAAGTGTGAGCGAGGCTACTTGAAAGGCAAAGAAAGCATTGCCAATGAATTGAACTAATTCTTTGTTAAACAACCAATAGCTTTGTTCAATGCTCAAAACATCGGTGAAGACATAGCTGCTTCAAATTATTGTAAAGGAACTCAGAGTGGAAATGCTTTAAAGATTCCACACATTGCACCAAAAAGGGTTGTAGAGATTTTCCTGTCAGTTCCACCACACAAAGCCACAGGAGACGATGGGATCAGTGCAAAGCTGTTAAAGATCACAGCCAGTGCCATATCAAGCCCACTATGCAGGCTGATTAACCATTGCCTTAACAAAGCAACCTTTCCCTCCAAGTGGAAGGTTGCCAAAGTAACACCGATCTTCAAAAAGCAAGGGAGTAAGGACAACATAAACAATAACAGACCCATTTCTGTGCTACCTATCCTATCTAAGGTATTTGAAAAACATGTTTACAAATCCTTATATAGTCACCTCAAGAGCTACAATAAACTGCACAAACTTCAATCTGGTTTCAGAAAATCCCACTTGACTGAGACAGCTCTAATACATTTGATAGATCAGCTACTCTCCGATCTTGACCACAAGAATTTTGTTTCTGGCCTTTGTGAACAATTTACCAGCCACGGTACAGCATTCTACCATTGACATGTATGTGGATGATACAACTTTGAGTAAAAGTGAACAATAGCTCCCATGTTTGGCTGTCGGTAACCTGTCGGCCAGCTGTCGGCCGACACATTACCAACAGCCAGCCGACAGTGTTAACCAGACTGTATGTATCAATTTTTGTATTTACCTACTTCCTAACTTGTATTTTTACACTAAAATAGGCTTGTTTACTTGGTAGCAAAAAGGAAGTTTTTCAATTGCCCTATAAATGCATTGCAAAACCATAGTTTACAATAATTCATGTATGTCTGACTAATCTTTCTTTTCTTGTGACAGGTCGCGATCATTGCCTTTTGTGGCGTATTATGACAATTAAAATATTAAAGTATACCTCAAAAATGTGAAAACACTTTGAAAACTCTGGATAAGAGCAGGTAACTCAAAATGATTCATGAAATCGAACCAATATGGGCATGTTTTGCTGCCAACGCAAGCAAGTTAGGCAATAGGCATACTAACTATCTCTCTGCAATTAATTTTTCCTGTCTTGACGTAGTTATTGAAGTGATAAATAAGTAACTGTTTGCGATCATTTCAGCACACGACTTACTGACACATTACCAACAGGTCACCAACAGGTTACCAACAAGCGGCTGACTGTTAGCCAACTGTTGGCCAACACTTTAGTCTATAACATTACAAAAACTGTTGGCTGACTGTTGGCCATCCGTCGGTCAACTGTCAGCCGATGGTCAATCAACAGTTGGTTGACTGTTGCCCAACTTTAGCCGACAGTTGGCCAACAGACGGCTGACAGTATCTTTGGGAACTGTTCTTCACTTTTACCCAACTTTGAGCCATTAATGTGATGTCAACAACACACCAGACATGCTATCTACAAACTTGCAAAGTGACATTGAGGGAATTGTAAAAAGTTCTAATGACAACAAAATGATCCTGAATTAATCAAAAACAAATTGCATGTTTGTAACTGGAAAGAGGCTATGCAAATGTATGGAAAACAATAAACTCTCAATTCAAGTGAATGGGAAACAGCTGAGACAAGTTGAGTGTCAAAAGCTTCTAGGTGTCTTATTGATGACAAACTTAGCTTTGATGACCATGTCAATGAACTTTGCAAAAGACTGTCACAATGATTGCCATATTAAAGAAAATTAGACAATTTTTGCCAATCGAGCCGAGGATCTAATACTACAATTCATTAATCAATCAAGTAATGATGTATGGCTCTTCTGTATGGACTTCTTGTTCTATGGATAATCTCACCAAAGTCCTAAAGCTACAAAAATGTGCAGCTCGTGTTATATTAAAAGCAGACACCAGAGACAATAGTATTAAGCTCTTTCCTAGATTTGGATGGCTTCCATTTTAAGATGACGCAAAAATAAATAATTGTTTACTCATTCATAAGAGCCTAGTAGGTGATTGCCCTCAATATATGAACAGTTTAATCATCAGGAATTCAGATAAACATCATAGGAAAAGTTGATACAGAGAATGGAACCTTGTCTGTAAGAGATTTAATAGGGAAACTGAGGTTGGAAATTCTCAGTAAGTAATGCAAAACTTTGGAATTCATTTCCAACCAGTGTTAAAGACAAAATTAAGATGTCAAATTCAAATTCAGATGTATGTAAATACCTAAATGACTACTTTTGCCATTTGAATAAGGACATTCATCAATTTAAAGTAAATTGGCATTGCCAATTTATTTTACCATATATATTTATACATATACAGGGTATTTTTAGTATATACATGGGATATAATTATTTGATATAGGAGTGCCACAAGCTTATCAGTATTGTAACAGTTTCATGCTACCCTCGATAAATAAAGTTGGACTGATTAATTGATTTAAATAGACTACCACTGAAGAGTGCTTTTTACTTCAGCATGTTAGATGGCAACCACCATTTTGAATTTCTCCTCAACTTTGTGCAAGCTTTCTAGCATTCTCAAGATGTGAGGCCAAGAACATTTGAGATTTTCTCAAGTTCTTTCAGCTGACTTCTACCTTTACTGTGACAATACCAATTTTGATAAAAATGACTGACATAGTTCCATTAATAACACATTTTGGAGAAAAATTTGATTAAAAAAAGAATAGACCAACTTGGGTTTACATGTTTAAACAACATATTGACCAGTAGCCATGTCATTCCAAGGGACTCTCTTTCTTTTGATTGAAATTTTGAAGGAAGCCAGGAAATTCAACGTCACAGACAATCAATTTCCACCTGGTGTCCAACCACTTATGGAAACCCTGCAGTTTGGGCTCTTCCAACATCCCTTACTATCCATGACATAATAAATTTAGAAGAAAGCACCTTGAGTTTAACATCATCCTCACAAAAGAAGAACACTTGCCAATTTCACTGCAAAGACAACAGACTCTCCTGTGATTCTTGACGACAATCAGTCTTGTGAAGTCTGAGGTTTGGAGCAGTTTAACTCTCTAGACACTGACACAACCTCTATTCTTAATATTTGCCCATAAATCTGTCACTTGCTAGTCTATGCCTGCTGATTGCAAACCAAAAGGTGCACCCCTCTGAGTGCTTGCAATAGACAAATGCATTTAAGGAAAACTTTTGAGACTAAATCAAAGCCTTTTGGTAAAATTCAAAATGGTGAATTTGATAATCAATAAAAGGGGCCTTTTTTCAACTTACAACTGAACAGTATAATATACCTTCAAATGCTTTTTGGGCTCTGTCTGAGTCATCTCTGTTCTTGTCAGGATGGACCAGGAATGACAGCTTTATTTCAAACAAAATTAGATTGTGGTAAATAAATTTAACTTGTTCATGGCCAGTATCATTATAATAACCAATGTCATAAAGAAAAATCAAAGGAGACAAATATCCTATCATACAGTCATACAAATAAGCCGAAAATTTTCAGAAAACCTCTTCTATAACATTTTCTTTCCAGTTATCAGTATGCACTTTTAGTTGAGGTAAGTCAATCCCTTATGTGTAAAAAGAACTGCAATGAAGCTGCAGCTTAAAAGCATGTCCTTTTTAGGATTCAGCATTTTTGGGAGCACTCTGTGGATAATAGCAAACTTTGGTTGAACTTAATACTAAGCTGCTTTTCGAGAACTGACCTTTCTGTATTGTTTTCTTATTATTTCTTCTTTGGCATCAGTAGGTAGCTGGAGAACCTGGAAAATCAGAAGAAGTGAGCAAAGATTTTCAAGTTTTAAGAAGCAGCACATTTGTTGCAAAATTTCAAGGGGACAAATAAGTTTGTTTACATGTACCTTACCTGTAGCAGGGATTTACATTTGATCTTAAGTGAATGTACACTAAATCATCAAATACTAAAAACTAAATCAAATTTTTTTTAACATAAAGCTATAAAATCCTGATTCAAATTAGTTAGTTTTATCAAGAGTATATTACCAAATTGAATTAAATTTAAAATAATCACCTGAAAGTAAGTTGCAAGTATTGAAAGTAATAATGTGGCAATTTTTGAATGATAATCTTCAACTTTTTATTTCTAGGCAGGAATAATTGACCAATCTTCGTTGCAATCCAAGATTACCTTCAATTACATTTTACCTCATAAGGATTCAGATTGAAGTAAGTAGATCCAGGTCTTGTCAGCCTCTCTATCTGCTGTGGTCCAGTTAAAACAGAATCTCGCTTCTCAATCTCTTTGACCTGGAGGTTAAACATTCAACTGAAAAAGGGTTTGCCTAAATAACCTTTTACATATTGTACAGACTTGTGAAAGACCCCGAGGTAAATTTATCAAACCATCAGGGCGCAGCGTTAGTATGATTTTGATTGGTAGTTGATTACATTATATGTTATCGTTATCAAAATAGCCCCGCGAAATTAACATACTATTTTCCAAAATGGCCGCTCGTCTGCCGAGAAATTTCTTCATGTTTCCGAGGAAGAAATAACTGACACGAAAGAAAAGGGGCACTTTATCTGATTATCATCTTAGCACTGCAAAATGAAAATTCTCCTTTGGAGCAAATACAGATGCTAACCCATGCGACCACATCAACAATAGATTTCGTAATCAAAAACCTGGGGTCTCAGTTTAGGCAAGTATACAAAGTTTGGTGTGGAAATAAACATTAAATTTGGTACAAGGGATTAAACTAACCAGTACCTCGGACATAAACCGTGAAAATAATTCGTCAACCTCATCACTCTCTGAGTTTGGTGGAGCTGCCGGTGCTGCCATAGTGGAACACATTTAACCCCGTCATGTAAGACAATAACTATATATAGCTTAGACGCTGGCTGAAGGTCCCTGGCTGAAGAGCTTGGGTCGAGTAACAGAGCCCAATTCCCTGGCCGAGTAATCATTGGTTGCACATGTCGAAGTTCACAAGACTTGCTCAGGCGTAGAACAACTGCTATTGCTTTTTTATGTGTTTTCCTTTTACGTTCTACTAACCCATAACAGCAACAATGTCTTGTTCTGTCGCTTCTCCTGAATATCTTAATGAACTTCTCAGCGACAAAACAACGGTATCGAAAATGCCCAAGATATTTCTTCACGCCGAAAGATTGCTGGATCAAGGTACAGTGTTGCGCCAAGTTAACTTCAAATTTAATATAATAATAACTGCAGTTATTATAAATAATCGGTAAATGAACATAAATAATCCCCAGAAGAAAAAAATGTAACTTCGCGAGGTAATATCTAATTCATTTCAGAAGTAGAGTTTGTTCTAACGCGATTTAAAGCGAAAAACGCGGCGACGAAAAATGTAATCGATCGCGGCCAGCGAGCGTGGAGCATAAATCTTCCATTTGTTTGCCCGACATCCGGACACCATTTCCAGTGTTTACCGAACAACGATCGTGTTTTAGGTTAGCATCACTGACACACCAGGGAATACAAGAGATCAACTTCAGGTTTGTTGGACATATGACATTTTGCTTAGTACCTAGGAAAGATTTAGTTAAGCTGAAATTGAAAAATGAACATTGGGTCGGTCGACGCGCTCTTTGCAGTTGCCTTCAAAACTAATCTATAGTATGCGTCTTTGTTGGTCCGCGCGCTCTCGTCTGTCTGCAGAGTTTTGGAAGGATTTCTTATGTTAAAGATGTATTTATTACCCCCTTAAAACTTGCACACTGGAATCTCGGTTGCTTGTATTGTGAACAAACTTGTTGTGATTTTCTGTTTCATTAACTCGTATTCTATTACATTCAACTAGATTTCTTTCCACCCAGTGGGATGTATGAATATTTTATTTGGTAATATGAAAGCCACACTTTTTTGATAACTCGCTTGCTCTTGTTTTATTATGTACTGGCCCACGATTTTGCATAAACCGAAACTAAATAAACTCACAACTAAGAGGGAGATACGATTTAGAGTATTCACGAGGCCGTCAGGAGACCGATCGTGCAGGCTTTATTAAACTGGTTACTTTTGTTAGTTCGCTGCAACCGTGTTTTGTTGTTATTCTTGTATGTAAACAAGCTTAAACATTAGCTTTTACTTGGAAAAGTCTTTTGTGAAGCAGTTTCAACATTTAAAACGCTTGACGGTCCATGAAATTACATGTTATCTTTGAAGGAAAATCGTCACGCTTGGAATTCGTCTCGTTTCTAATTTGACGGGGTCAAATAACTGTGAAAATTTGATGGCTTGTTCTGATTTAGCTGAGATTTATTTATTAGCGAGCGCTCGAACATGTAGTACGATTTAATGGACATAAATGGTTGTATTCAGGGTGTGCCTAGAATTTTTCTTAGCGTTTGCTGAAGCCAGTTCAATTGTTTCGTTTTGTGGCTCTCGAGGAATTCACCCCCAGGAACTTGCTTTGTCGAAATTTGTGTAATAATGATCTTTATCTTGATTAGGGACAGATGCTTTTCATGACACGTATTCTGACCAAACAGAGCAAATCTAAATAATTACAATTATAACTTGGCAATCGGACATGTGCAACCAAAAATTAAGAGGAGCTTTTCAGATGAAAAATAGGATATTTGTGGTTTTGAGCATTTTATTTCAAATGTGGTTTTTTTTAGCTGGGTGCAATTTTCGTTGAATTGAAAGAGGGCACTGACATGGATATTTTTGTCACGATGTATTTCACAGCCTTCAGAAACTAAAATCGTTGTCGTGTTTGTCAGGATTTATTGGTAGGAAAGCAAATAAATCAAAAGCATCAATTTTCAGCTCTTTTCCTGTCTTTTTTACTTTCTGTCAACAATCATGAAATCTTTTTAATGTTCCCCCAATGCCTGTTGACCACTTTCCTAAATTTAATTTAGGCTTTGTAAACATATCCTTTTTAATCGAAACCTTGAGATTCTGTTTCAGCAGTTTTGGATGCAATGTAGAAGTTGTTTACCAAAAAATAGTAAGAATCTTGAAGGAGTTGTTTTTATTTGTTCGTTATCAACTTTGCCTTTGAATATTTTTCTGTAGTTGGCATCATTAATAGATAAACTACCATAATTGCTTTTGGTCTGAGGTAACTATTATCTGTAGGTGAATTTGTTTCAGATTGGAATGAAGTTGTTGAAAGAATTCATGTATATTTTTAAAGGCTTTATTACCTGCTCATTTTTTGTACTAAGGTTTGATATCCAAAACTAAACTGAAATGCTGTTTTTGCTTTCAAGATTAGGAACCTAAATTGATTTTTGTCTTTTCATTCACTTCTCTCTTTACAGAAATGATAAGTTGGATTCACAGTAGTTCTTTTAAATGAGTTGTCATGGACACCCTATGTGGGAATTTGATGTTTTTTCATAGTGTGTTAAGGAACAGGCATTAAATCACTGGATGGCAATCATTGTTAGTTTGTTTTAAGAAAGTAAGGTGTAGGAATCATATGATCTCTACCTTCCTGAAAAGTCACATCTAGATTGAAAGTGTAACAATATAGACAAATTTCTCCTTATTTTATTCCATGAAAAGGCTAAATAATTCAAAGCTCTTGTTTGTACTATGTAGGAGTAAATGCATTATGGGTCTTAAACTATTATAAATGAAACAATTTTAACACTGAGTTTTGTTCTCAACAAGAGCACAGAATCCAAAGCTCTGAGGTTCATTTCGTTATGGGGACTCAGAATTTTTTTCTTTGTCCTGTGCTGGTGAGAAGATGAAGAAACATCATTCTCTATTTCTTTACAGAGCTCAAAACTTACCATCTCTCTTATTTTGTTCTATTTGCCAGAACTCTATTTTCAGTAGCATTGTTATAAGTCTTATCTTGTGATAGTGAATGTCAGTCTAGGCTTTAGGCAGGTTGATTGACATTTTGATGTCTGTGTACTATCCATAACTTTGATCACTTGGAAATGCAGTCAGAATGTGACTTCAATGAGCATCTTTTCACCTTTCAAGTGATGTGGATGGCTCAAATGAGAAGAAAGACATTCAGTGTTTATGGGGAAAAGCAGAGTGTTGTTAGCATGTTATTTGCTGTTTATTTCCCCATCAGCTCTCCTCTAACTTGGCTTTCTTCTCACAATAAGTACTAAAACAAGTTAAATATCTTTTAAATAAACAGTTGTGTTGTGTGGTTGAAACAAAACGCTTTCTTCCCTGTACAGAAATAAGCAGAGTTAGAAATGAGCTCTTCCATGGAGTGATCAAGAATGAACCAGACGGAGTGTTTGGGGAACTTCAACTTCCAGCTTCTTCAGGGCCTAGAGTAAAATTGTCAGAAAAGGTCTATGCCCCAGTCAAAGAATACCCAAAGGTAAAGTTCAATCTGCTCTTGCTTCACTTTCTATTTTGACATTTCCTTTAGAAAAAGCTTCTATTTAGTTTTGTAGTTCTTGTAGTTTACCTAGTGTATGCTGTTACCTGAATGAACCATTAAATGACATTCAATTCTATAAAATTTCATTATGTAGTATTTTAGATTTATGTTGCAGATTTCAGAAAATTGCCTTGTCTTTCAAATTTAATGTTATGTCAGTAATGAATCAAACCTTAGATGTGCTAATCTTAAAGCACATGTATTTTGAATCCAGTCATATGCACTTAGTTGCACACCTCTAAGGTTTTAATTTGTTTTGATCTCTTTTTGCAGTTTAATTTTGTTGGTAGAGTAATCGGCCCACGGGGAATGACTTTAAGAGAAGTTGAATCTTCTACTGGATGCAAACTGTTAGTCAGAGGAAAAGGTTCTATGAAAGATAAAAAATTGGTTAGTTTTGTCACATGTACAAAGGAGTCTCAAATATCTGTCAAAATAGTGAATTCAAGGATGACGTCTGTGATAAATCCTCTTTATACATGCAGGAAGAAGAGAAACGGGGCCAACCGAACTATGAACACTTAGAGGAGGATCTGCACGTGCTCATATCAGTGGAAGACACAGAGGAGAGAGCAAAGTTGAGACTTGCAAAAGCTGTTGAAAAAGCCAAAGATCTTCTTCAACCTGTGGTATGTTGGCTTGGCTTTGTGTTTTCTTGCCACTAGAAGGCCATTTATAAATGGCAACCTTCCACATATCATCAATTATGATTTCCTTTTAGGATGAGGGAGAAGATGAATTAAAAAAGAAACAGTTGAAAGACCTGGCATTAATGAATGGCACTTTGAGGGAACAAGCAGGTTTGTCAACAAAATTAAAAGAGCAAGTCTAAATGTTCATATTTAATATTAGCTGTCCTTTTTCCTTTTGCTCTTTGAGGATTGATCAGACTAAAGTCACAGCTTTTCAAACCATATCAGCAGTTGTTATGAAAAATTTGCTTACAGTGAGATTTGGGGTTTGCTCTCTGCTGCTTTAGTTTTGGTTGCCATGGCAATTGGAAAATAAATTGGTTCTTAACTAGCTGCATAGGTTGTTTCTTTAGCAGACTGACACCATATAATATTGAACATACTGTCCTACTAAGGGAAAACCAAGATTTTATTTCATCAAATATTTAGGTGATGGTTTTAGGCTGTCAAATAGCAACTTTTAACAATTTAAGCTTAGTGCATTGGGAACAAATCTTGATGGTTTGTTTATAGCCTGCTTGTGACTTCTAGGATGCTTTTTTTCACCGGAAGATACTATTTGTGTAGGCAATACTCCAGTTATACACAATGGTCTTCTGGGGATGCCTCTTCCACCTGCCTTAGCTGGATATGGGTTTGCAAGACCTCCTGGTATGTGGTGTTGTCAATGCTTCATTCCATGTTTGGTTGTAATTTTATGCAGAGAAAATTCAAATATTTTATAGGGTATATCAGCTCAGACAGAAGTTTCTATACCTTGAATATCAGCAGGGAAGGTTTGTTAGTTACTCTTGACTTAAATGAGGTGAAGTTTGAAGTTATGGGCTGCAGATGATTAAATCTCACAACCTGAGCTAAAACAAGAGTTGTGGTGGAATACAGTCAGTGACAATTTGTATATTTTTTTCTCAGTTCCAAGTGCATACCCTGCCAGCCTTTCAGGACTGGAATTTGCATCATATGCAACCAGACCAGGAACCATTTTTGACTATGGACTGGAAACTTCCATCCTTGGTGAGTCTGACTTAACAAGTTTACTAACAAGCCTGACTCAATGACCCACAAAAGAGTATCGTTTGGAGGTGAGCCAGAAAAATTAAATCAAGAATATTAACTGTAAGTGCATCATAAATAGAAAAAGCAAAGGATCACTAGACACAAAAGTATTGCCTGTGGTCCATAACGTATCTTTTGACATTGAGAACAAATGATCAACATTAATAACGGTAAAGTTGGTAATGTTTTCATCAATATTTAGGTGCAGTTAAACCACGGAGACCTATACGGGAACATCCTTACCAAAGATGAAGTAAGTTAGCCATTGATAAAATCATTCTTACTTCAGGTAGAACCTGTTTGAAACAATAAAATTTTAAGGACTCTATTATTATTTGATGAATTGCACCATCATCTTTCAAGCAGTGTCAGTCTGATCACTCCTTACACCTTACAAAAACTCACAGGTGTTTCTTCCCTGGAGTTTAAATGGTTTTAAGTACAGTTTTCATAAATTGATAGGAAGAGACAGTAATTTCATATTGTAATTACTGCTAAAACTTTTATCCTGAGTTCATATACTTATATCATGAAGCAAAATGTACATTGAAATTGTAATTCCATTCATGAAGCCTTGTATGGAAGACAGCTTTACTAGTATTATCCTTGTAAATTTAAACAGAATTTTTCTTCCCTCATCTAACAAGCTTGCATTAATGACTATATGAGAGTAAAATATGTGGACATGAGCAGTCTTTCCATCATTGCTATTTAACGTAAAGTAATTGATACTAACACATAACTTCTCTTTCTTACTAGACTAATTCTGCAGAAGACCAACTAATAACCAGGCTAAATGTAAAGCCTGGAGAAACTGCTAAAGTTCTTTGTGTTGTGCCTGCAGTCTGCACTTGACTATGGACTAATTGATTAGTGTCTATTGCAAAAAATGAGTTTTGTAACAAATGATCCTAATATATTTCTGTATGTTTGAAGAGAATTTATCAGATTTAATAATGTAATATATACTGAAATTTATATGTTGTAGTGTTGTCAATGTATGTCACTAGACTGCCCTTTCAGCTGCACTTGCATTTTTTCCCTTTCTAATTGCATATGTATAAAAAGCTAAAGCAAGATAGATGACATGTACAAATAAAATTCTTAAGGAGTAAAACAAATTGCATCATTCTATGCATACATTTAAACCACTTATTGATTTTACCTGGCAAACTAATTTAGCTTAAGTGAGTGAAAGATTTCTATCATTTAGTATTTAGACTCATTTTCTGCTGTTCAGTCGACTTCATTCTGCTGTACCTTTCCAGCATAACTACTGGCCCTTTTCATTCAAGCAATGGTTTATTTAACAGACATGTTCTTTATTGCTCTTTGTCTGTTTACTCTTTTTTGAAGACAGACTTAATTTTCTTACCATTCATAAAATTGGAGCAAAGATTCTGAGTGTACATGTAGATGATGTAATAGACATAAAATATGTGCATCATATTTTGTATGCAAATCTTTATTACTGGTTATACTAGTTGAATTAGTAAAAATATTGTTTTGCATTTGACTGTAATAATATCTGGTGTTGCTGAAAGGGTTATGTATGGTGTCTGTGATGGAGGAAGTTATTACACAGACAATTCAGTGTCATTGTTCTGTAACTGGTGTGTTATGTTGTGTTGTTGTATGTGGAGTGAATTTTGTTTTGTTGGTGATTTGTTATAAATGATGATGATAAATGTAATTATAATATAGCTGGATAGGGTAACAATTTAATCAATGAAGATAAATTGAAATATGCATGTTAATTCATAGTGTCATCAGTTATACAATGTTATATGCTGTACAGTGAAATTCTGTGACATTGTTGATATTTGGCTTTCATGTTAAGTGTGCGTTAGAAATTCTGTTTATTTCTCTGTGTTGTGAAGTCATGTGGTTATTGATTGTAACAATAAAGATCTAATTTTGAGACTAAACTTGTTCAATTGTAACATTCTTTTAACTTTTACTAGTGGTGCCATTGGATAACCAAAACTAGATTTCATTCAACTGCCACTTGATTGCCATCGTCTTGGCCACAACCCTTTCTATCTCCTCCTCCTCC